GTTTTTGGGGCAGACGAGCCGTTTTTGGGGATGAACGAGCCGTTTTTGGGGGCAGACGAGCCGTTTTTGAGGGCAGATGAGCCGTTCCGCAGGGCCGGGAGGGGAAAGCTCCGCTCCCGGGCTCCGAACGCCTCCGTATCCCTCTTTTCCCTAGGGAAGGAGGCCCTGCTGCGGCAGAAGGACTACGAGGCTTCCACGTTATCCGAGGTCAAGGCCCTGCTGAGGAAGCACGAGGCCTTCGAGAGCGACCTGGCCGCCCACCAGGACCGCGTGGAGCAGATCGCCGCCATCGCCCAGGAGCTCAAGTGCGTTCCCGGGAATTCCCGCCTATCCCGGGACGCGCGGGGGCCCCTGTCGTTCCGCCCCTTCCCCCTCGGGATACGGGCGCTTCCCGGGAGCGGCGCCCGCGGGTTTTTCCGCACGGATAAATCACAATTAGGGCAGGGCGAAGCCATGAATGGAGCCCTTATTCCGGCCTCTCCTGGCGCTCCCTCCCCGGTATTCCCGCATGGAAAAGCCGCGGAGCCGGCGGAGCGGCTATGGGGAGCGTAGGGCGCTCCCTTTCCGACCACCTCTTCCCACATCCTTCTTGGAAAATCCTTAGGAAAGCTGCCCCTTTCTCTCTTGTGCAAATTCCAGCTACAGCTTTATCCCAAATCCTATTCCCGGGCTCAGCAAATTCCAGCTACAGCTTTATCCCAAATCCTATTCCCGGGCTCCTAGTCACTTAAGGGCGACTCCTCCTCCCTCGTGCTAAGAACTCACATAACTCATCACACGTATGTAATATTAAATAAGCCCTTTTTAGCAAGTTTGGATATATAGGGTAGATAATTAGCCAAAGGGGAGTGTAATTAACTTATCCTATGATCCTCACGTTGCTCCCGTTTTTCCTTTCCCTTTTCCCAAAGCGAATTGGATTATTACGACTCGCCCAGCGTCAATTCCCGGTGCCAGAAGATCTGCGACCAGTGGGACGTCCTGGGATCCCTGACCCACAGCAGGAGGGAGGCCCTGGAGGTAGGAACTTCCCAATTCCGGGATAAGGAGCCTCCAAGGAGGCTCCCGAGCTCAATCCCGGCTCAATCCCGCAGCAAACGGAGAAGCAGCTGGAAACCATCGACGAGCTGCACCTGGAATACGCCAAGCGCGCGGCGCCCTTCAACAACTGGATGGAGAGCGCCATGGAAGACCTGCAGGACATGTTCATCGTCCACACCATCGAGGAGATCGAGGTGGGAACGCGCTCCGTGCGCTCCGCGGATCCCGATCCCGGCTCTTTGGGATCCCACGGGAATGCCGTCCCTTGCAGGGCCTGATCGCGGCGCACGACCAGTTCAAATCCACCCTTCCCGACGCCGACAAGGAGCGCGAGGCCATCCTGGGAATCCAGCGGGAAGCGCAGCGGATCGCCGACTTCAACGGGATCAAGCTGGCCGGGAATAACCCCTACACCTCCGTCACCCCCCAGATCATCAATTCCAAGTGGGAACGGGTGAGCCCCCTTGCCGTGGATGTATCCGTGTATCCCGGGATCACGGAATCCTCAAGGGATCCTTGGAGATATCCAGTCCAACCCCTGTGCATCCGGAGCACAGGGCTGTATCCAAGCGGGTTTGGAATATCTCCCCAAGAGATTCCATAATTTCTCCGGGCAGCCTGTTCCAGGGACTCGCTCCCTCAAGGAATTTTTCCTTAAATTCCCATGGAATTCCAGTGCTTCCAAGGCCTTTCTCTCATCTTTCCGCCCCCGCTGCAAAACAAGCTTTGCCTTCAGCCCTCGGAAAACCGCACGGGGGTGGCGGGAGGCTCTGGAATTCCTTTCCCGGGCGCTTTTTCTGGGAATTTCATCCCGTTTTCCAGGTGCAGCAGCTGGTGCCCAAGCGGGACGGCGCGCTGCTGGACGAGCAGAGCAAGCAGCAGTGCAACGAGCGCCTGCGGCGCCAGTTCGCCGGCCAGGCCAACGTCGTGGGGCCCTGGATCCAGACCAAAATGGAGGTGAGGGCGGAATTCCGCGCGGTCCGGCGCCCGGGAATGCCGGGAATGACATCCCGCATCCCATAGGAGATTGGACGCATCTCCATCGAGATGAACGGCACCTTGGAGGACCAGCTGGAGCACCTCAAGCAGTACGAGAGGAGCATCGTGGACTACAAGCCCAACATGGACCTGCTGGAGCAGCAGCACCAGCTCATCCAGGAGGCCCTCATCTTCGACAACAAGCACACCAACTACACCATGGAGGTGGGCGCCGAGGGCTTTCCCAAGGGAAAATCCCAAGGGAAAATTCCCGGAATGCAAAGGGATGCCCCAAGGCTTCACCCGAGGCCTCTTGAGTCTTTGCCCAAGGACTCGGTCACATTTTGTGGGCAAGGGGAAACGGAGGGATCTGGCCGAGGGGACCCCGGCGGGACGTGTCCCCGATTGTCCCCTCGTGTCCCGCAGCACATCCGCGTGGGCTGGGAGCAGCTCCTCACCACCATCGCCCGCACCATCAACGAGGTGGAGAACCAGATCCTGACCCGGGACGCCAAGGGCATCAGCCAGGAGCAGATGCAGGAATTCCGGGCGTCCTTCAACCACTTCGACAAGGTACCCGGGCGCCTTCCTCCCCGCTGCCCTCCTCTTCCCTGGGCACCTTTTGCCCCAAAATCCCTCGGAATGGGGCCCCCAACGGCCTCGGGGACCCCCGGGGGGGCTCATGGAGCATTTTTCCCTCTTCCTTCCCTCCTTCCCGCGTTTTTCCGGCCGCCAGGACCACGGAGGCTCCCTGGGCCCGGAGGAATTCAAAGCCTGCCTCATCAGCCTGGGATACGACGTGGAAAACGACCGACAGGTACCGAGCCCCACTTAACCCTCAACTCTTTCTCTCCATCCCTTCCTTTCGCCATCCGCATCCCGGATTTTCCCATTGGGCCCCTTTTCCCATGGCATCAACCTCCTCGACTGACTTTGCTCGTTTTTCCCCGTTTTCTCCCCGTTTTGGGGTTTTTCTCGCCTCTCTCTGCATGCGCCGCCCCTCTCTGCCCTTCCACCTCTTCCTCTTCTTCCTCCTCTGCCGCGCTCTTGGGATAGAAGCGCCCGGGAAGCACGGACACGGATGACTTCCGAGCCCGCGTTATCTCCACGGGATACAGCCTGGTACGCTCTCCGCGGCTTTCCTTCATTTTCCTTCTCCCTTTCCCACCTTTTCCTCTTCTTTTCCTACGCGAGGGGCCGGCACCGGCTCCGTGGGGATAACCGGGAGCGTGGGAAGCGCGGGGCGGCTCCATCCTGGGGGGATCCAGGGAGGATCCGTCCCCGCTCATCCCGGATCCGTCCCCGCTCATCCCGGATCCGTCCCCTTCCCTCATTCCCGCAGGGCGACGCCGAGTTCAACCGCATCATGAGCCTGGTGGATCCCAACGGCAGCGGCACCGTCACCTTCCAGGCCTTCATCGACTTCATGTCCCGCGAGACGACGGACACGGACACGGCCGACCAGGTCATCGCGTCCTTCAAGGTCCTGGCGGGGGACAAGGTGAGTGACAAAGGGGGACAAGGTGAGTGACAAAGGGGGGACACGGGACAAGGTGAGTGACCAAGGGGACACGGGACGAGGTGAATGACCAAGGGGACACGCGGCGCTTCCGGAGGCGCCCGCCGATCCCTTCCCGCCTCCCTCCTTCCCAGAACTTCCTCACGG